TAATATGCAATTAAAAAAAAAACATAGAATCAAGCTATCTAAAAAAAAAAAAAATGGGCAAAGCACTTACTAATTTCTCCAAAGAAGATACATAAATGGCTAACATATTTTGAAAAGAGGCTCAAAATCAGCCATCATGGCAGTGCAAACTAAAATCATAATGAGGTACACTACACGTTTACTAGGATAGCTCTAATTTTTAAAAAGTGGAAAATAAGTGTTGGCAAGGATAGAAATCAGAAACCAGAATGCACCGCTGGTGGGAATGTAAAATGGCACAGCTACTGTGGAAAAGAGTTCAGTGCCTCCACAAAGACTTGAACGTAAAATTACCATATGACCCCTCAATTCTACCTTTAGATGTCTAGTCAAAATAATTAAAAGTAGGTTCTTGATGTATACTTACTAGCTCATATTAATTGCAGCAGCATTCACAGTAGTCAAAAGTTGGAAACAATCCAAGAGTCCATTGATAAGTGAATGGATAAACAAAATGAAGCATATCAGACAATGGCATACTATATAGCTGTAAAGGGAATGAGAGTTTGATACATACTGCAACATGGGTGAAACTTGCAGATGTTATGCTAAGTGAAGTAAATAGAAAAGGACAAATGTATGTTCCATTTACATGAAATACCTTGAATAGGTAAATGCCCTACAGACAGAAAGGTCCTAGGGGGTAGTGGAAGTGGGAAGTTATTGCTAATGGCTATGGAGTTTTGTTTGGGATGGTGAAAAATGTTGGAAATAGTGGAGATGGTCACAAAACATTGTGAATGTAATTATTGCCAGTGGAACACTGAAAGTGGCTTTAATTGCAAAAAGATAAAATGAAAAGGCATAGTGAGGAAAATATTAGCAAAGCATATTGTCTGATTAAGGACTTTTATCTAGAGCACATAAGGATCACTTAGAGTCTAAAACAAGAATAACAAGATCCCCCTAAAAAATTTAAACTGGGCAAAATATTTGAACAGATTCTTCACCAGAGAAGATGAATGGCACAAAACAAGCAAATGGAAAGACAAAAATCACAACAAGATGCCATTAGAAACCCACTAAAATCACCGTAATTTAAATGGTTGGTTTCCAAGAATGTGGAACAAGTGCTAATTCAGTATTAATGAGAATGTGAACTAGTGCAACCACTTTGAAAACAAGTTAGCAGTTCTTTTTTTTTTTTTTGGAGATGGAGTTTCACTCTACAAATCTTTCTGAAATGTTCAGTCTTGTCCATGTCTTGATTTTGAGGCATATTTTCCTCTAATTGAAAGGCATTTTTCAAAATATTATCTAGAGCTCTTTTCAAAAATCAATGATCTTTCCATGCTAAAATATTCATTTTAGCTGAACATTGACAAGGACTTCCTCCTTGATCAAACTTTAGTTAGGCTTCTCTAAGCCGTCTTCTCAACTAGGCCTCATCCTTGGCCTTGGCCTGCCTTAAGCAAAGAATCCTGCTAAGTCAGTTTAGTGGGAATCTCCCATGCTTGATATCTAACCAAGTTTCTCACCCCTCACCCTTAATGTCTAAATCCTTAATCTGCCTGTAGGAAGAATCTTGTTAGGCAACTTAAGCAAGAATCCCTCTACACTTGATGTCTCCTCTTAATAATTTGCTTCTGGTTACTCTGAAGGGAACCAGATGCAAATAAAAATAAAAGTTTATAATTTAGTTCTTTATCAATGTCCATTTATCAGGACCTTCCCCTTTTTGGTATTTTTTTTCTATATATATTTTCCCCTCTGTCTAACCCCTTTAATTTCTGCTTTGAACAGCTCTCTGAACTTATTGCCAGTAAGCAATAAATTTTGTTTTAAAATTGCTGTTTGACCACTTTTTTAATGTTGCTTCTTACATTCCTCATATCTTTATAGCACTTTTACAATTACTATCCTATTGATCTCCTGGCTGGTGGTTATAATGCTCTTTCCAAGACTTTTAAGGTCAATTATCCCTCCCCATGAGACAAATACAGTATGTTCTACTTGCTTTGGAAATAGAAAACATAACCTGGAAGTATCATGGTTAAATTATAAAGTCCAACACATACCCTCAAAACAGAAACTCTTCTTCTATCAACATCTAAAATTTTGAGCTTCCTGTTCATCTTCTCATTTCATTCTGCAAATGCTCTGTGGGCGATTATTTTAAATTTACAGACAAATTGTTAAAATAGTTCAAATACTTTCCATATGCCCATTACCTTGGGGCTCAATCCAGGCTTTCCATCTTGCCTACCTCTACCTATTTTACTCCAAACATGTAAAATCCACCTCTCACTCTTCCTCATCCCTTTACTTACTTATTCAACCTCAGCATATGCATAGTGTTTTCAGAACTGTTAATCTGTACACTTCTAAGAAACATTTAATGACTAGAGTTCAGTGTTTATATATAGAGTTTTTGTTTTGAATATTATGGTTTCTCATGTAATTTGAATTTTGCAGTCAATATTATGTTATTAAAACATTTAAAGGTTATTCCTAATTAAGCAGAGTATAGGTATGTTATTAGGAATATATTATATTCTATAATGTAATAGGATATAATATATACCTATTCTGAATGATCCTACTCAGCAATGACACTTCCAAATATATTGTTTAATTTTTACAGCCATAGAGATTATTCTTATAAAGCCTTTTCAATTGATCTGTTGAAAATAAACAGATGTTTTTGGTGCCAGGCATTGATCCAAAGGCTATACTTTTATTATCGCATTTAATCTCCTTTAAAATATTTTTAAAATTGCTTCTTGGCCTTTTGGCTAAGATCAAGTGTAAAATATTTTTTTAGTTTCATTCTAGTTTCATCAATGGGTAAAACTTGTACGATGCCAGAATTAACCTCAATGTTATGAACCATTTCTTTCTTTTTTTTTTTAGATGGAGTCTTGCTCTTTTACCTAGGCTGGAGTGCAGTGGCACAATCTCAGCTCACTGCAACCTCCACCTCCCAGGTCATGCAATTCTCCCACATCAGCCTTCTGAGTAGCTGAAGTTATAGGCATGCACCACTATGCCTGGCTAATTTTTCTATTTTTAGTAGAGACAGGTTTTATCATGTCTACCAGACTGGTCTTGAACTCCTGACCTTGTGATCCACCCACCTCGATCTCCCAAAGTCCTGGGATTACCGGTGTGAGCCACCACACCCAACTGTTATGAACCATTTCTAACAGTGAGAGTCTTCCTACAATTGAGAGAGTAAGATCTCTGTAACTAGATACATAATTAAGTAGAGGCTGAATGATCGTCTTTCAAATATTAAGTTGTGAAAAGAATCCCAGAATGTGGGGTCCAACTTGCAGACCCTGACCCAGTGACAGATGAACAAATGCACTCAGAGGCCAGTTCCAGTGAAAGAGTGTGATGAACAAATGTGCTCAGACACAGATATCCAGTGAAAAAGTGGACTATAAACTCTGAGGAGGGTGCTATAGTCAGCAGCCATGGTCCTCACCAGCTGGCACTGCAGGCATTCATTCCATATAGATTTAATGACAGAGGCTTTAAGTTAATTATCCATACTTGTGGATAATTAACATGATTGCCTTCACCAGAGAGAGCCATCCTACAATGATTAAAAGCCATGTCCCAAGGCCTACAGCAATCACCATTTGTGGGTAACATTGTTGACCACCCTAGTAGAGAGCAGTCATGTGCTTGTGGATGTTCAAAGCTTGCTCTTAGGGCCACATGAGTAAACAAGCTCTTTAGATAAACTCCCCCACATTCCTTTGTATCTACTCCTGCCTAGTTGCCTCTGTGTAAGAACCACTGCCTTCAGGTCATTCCTTCTCAAGGCTTTTGCACAAACCTCCCAGCCTTCCAAGAAGGTTTGCATCTATTTCTCTCTAATTTTTCTCTTCTAATTTCTCCCACCACCCTGACTGAACCCCTACAGGAAATAGAAAATTATACATCATGTATGATTTGTTTTAATGCAAACTCTGAGCTCTAGGGTTGCTTAAGGAAATATACAGAACAGAGGTAGGGAAAATGGGATAAACTATTATCCTTTACTTAAGTCTCAAATTAAAGCCTCTTATTTTTCAAGAATAACTTACTATCCTGATGGAGAATATATCTGTTTTTCATTAAAATGTGTCTGTGTACTACTGAGAGGCACCATGGATTTGACAAAGAACCCATTTCAAATCTATTTCTGGGATCCACAACTACTGTCTATTATATACTGAGCTAAGAACATGGAAGAGAGTTAAACTATTAAACACAGAAATTTAAATATTTACTGATTTTTTTTTCACTAAAGCAGTAGCCTACCATAAGCAGGTTTTGAAATGCTGTGATAATTTTTGGATTCTGAATAAGATCTAATTAAATATACTGTTCTTTCATTTTGTCATATTCATTTGGGTTAACAAGAAACCAAAATATTAGTTAATACTATTTAGAAATATTAGAAGCTGATACAAGTTCTAAAAATGAGACAAATTGTCACATAAAAAGAGGCACATGATTAGATGATGATGGTGACTATAATGGAAATTTAGAGTCTCAGGTTCAAAAGAGAAAATAAGACAATATGAAGATACTGGATTCCTAACATTTAATATTTACAAGAAATTTTTCCTATTATACTTTTCAATGTTCCTCTTAACTAGTGTCAATGAAGTAATTGTTTTAACTAGTGTCAGTTAAACTTAGTATTCATGAAAACATTCCCACACAGTATAAGTTCTTTGAGTTTATAAACAGTATCTTTCATTGTTCAGCTAAATCTGGTAAATTGCTTTGTAGCCTCACTGGGTTTAATAAACGTTATGTAAATAAATACTTTGTATGGATCTCTCTGATACATTTCTAGTGTTAGTATGAAAAAAGCAAAGCAAGGTATTTTCTTTTCTAAATTAAATTCCTTTAACTGGAAGTGTAAGAAATGTTTGGAGGTGACTTTTCTCTATTAGACAATCATACAGACTAGACTTGCAAATAACATGACACTTAAAGAACCATACATTTTCAAAAAATGCAGAGCACAAGTTTTGTTTAATATTACATTATACCAAAGCACTGCAGAAACACTGCTGAATAGAAGCAAGCTGGAACCTCAACACAGAGCTCTTTTCTTACCCTCAGCAACAAAAAGGCTTGATCTTAGAAGTTCAAAATTGTTTCATATGATAAAGATGAGTTCTGAAAATAAACCAATAAGTAATTGTAATTTATATTTTATTCAACTTCTTTTTTTTTTTTTTTGGTGGGGGGAGGAAGGCAGGAAGGAAGGGAGAAGGACGGTAGGGAGGAAGGAAGGGATGAAGGACGGAAGGAAGGGAGGAAGCAGGGAGGGAGGGAGGGAGGGAGGGAGGGAGGGAGGGAGGGAAGGGAAGAAAGGAAATCAAGCAATGAAAGAGACATTGCCGACCTGGATCTAGCGGTTTACAAGTTGATTTCTTTTTTTTTTTGAGAGAAGGAAAGAAAAAAAATAAGTAAAGGAGAGGAAGAAAGAGGAGAGAAAGAGGGAGAGTAAATGGAAATATTGCTTTATTTTGAAAAAAATTGGGTATTAATAATGGCCAATCAATGTTTCATTTAAACTAATGGGTAGGTGTGATGTGGTATTGACAAGAATGTATATTTTGTGTATTTGAAGTGGGGAGCTCTATAAATATTTATTAAGTTTACTTGTTCCGGATCTGAGTTCGAGTCCTTGATATCCTTATTAATTTTCTGTCTCATTGAATCTAAGTCTCGTATCTGGGTGTTAGGATCGTTAGCTCTTGTTGTTGCATTGATCCTTTTACCACTATACCTTTGTTGCTTTAAAATCTATTTTATCCGATACAAGAATTGCTACTCCTGCTTTTTATTTATTTATTATTTATTTTTGCTCTTCATTTGGTTGGTAAATCTTTCTCCATCCCTTTGTTTTGAGTCTTTGTGTATCCTTGCATGTGAAACAGGTCTGGATGTAACATGCCGTTGGGTTTTGGCTGTGTTTTTTGATTGGGAATTCAGTCAATTTAAATTTAGGGTTACTGCCATTTGATGTTGACTGGCTGTTTTATCCATTCGTTGGTGTAAATTCTTCTTTATGTTGGTGCTCTTTACTTTTTGGTGTATTTTTAGAAAGGCTAATACTTGTTGTTTCTTTCTGTGTGTAATGCTTCTTTCAGAAGCTCTTGTAAAGCAGGCCTGGTGGTAATAAAATTGCTGAGTTCTTTCTTGTTCATAAAAGATTTTATTTTTCCTTCAGTTGTGAAGCTTAGTTTGGCTGGATATGAAATTCTGGGCTGAAGGTTCTGTTCTTTGAGGATGTTGAATATTGGCCCCCACTCTCTTCTGGCCTGTAGAGTTTCTGCCGAGAGATCTGCTGTAAGTCTGATAGGCTTGCCTTTGTGGGTAACCTGACCTTTCTCTCTGGCTGCCCTTAGTATCCTCTCCTTCGTTTCAACCCTGGTGAATCTAACGATTATGTGCCTTGGGGTTGCTCTTCTTGAGGAATATCTCTGTGGTGTTCTCTGTATTACCTGGGGTTGAATGTTGACCTGCTTTGCTAGTTTAGGAAAATTTTCCTGAATAATATCCTGAAGGGTATTTTCCAGCTTGGATTCATTCTCTCCGTGGCATTCAGGTACACCTATCAAACGTAAATTTGGTCTTTTCACATAGTCCCACATTTCTTGGAGACTTTGCTCATTCCTTTTTATCCTTTTTTCTCTAATCTTTTCTTCACGTTTTATTTCATTAAGTTGGACTTTGACCTCTGATATCCCTTCTTCTGCTTGAACAATTCGAGTGTTCAAACCTGTGCATACTTCTCTGAGTTCCTGTATTGTATTCTTCAGTTCCATTAATTCACTCATACTCCTCTCTAAGTTGTCTATTCGCAATAGGATTTCATCAAACCTTTTTTCAAAGTTCCTAGTTTCTTTACGTTGGGCTACAACATGTTCTTTTAACTCACCGAAGTTTGTTATTATCCATTCCTTGAAGAGTGATTCTGTCATCAGGAGGCGCTCGTTCTCCATCAAGCCTTGTTCCATTGTTGATGTGGAACTGTGATCATCTTTAGAGGGAGAGGCGTTCTGACTTTGAGTATTCTCAGCTTTTTTACGCTGGTTTCTTCCCGTCATTGTAAATTTATCCTCCTGTCGTCTTTGAAATTACCAACTTTCAGATTAGGTCTCTTGAGTGGACATCCAGGTTGTTAGTTCCCAGGGCCAGAGCAGCGGCGTTAAAACTGATGGTGCTTTTCTGCCCAGGATTCTCCTGTCAGGCTTCCTTCTTGTTTCCGTAGTAGGCGACTCTGCCTTCCCGGGGCTCCAAACCTCGGTCAGAAGGGGAACCGGTCTTGTTTACTCTGCGCCGAGTGCTGCCGCGCCGAGGTGCCGGCGGAACCGCTGCGCCGACCACGAGAGTCGCGCTGGCGACTCGTGTGTTTCCACCACTGGGGGATCTTCTGCTCCGTGAGCGACCAGAATTTGTCTGAAAGTGTGGCGTCCTCTAGTTCTCCGCGCCTTCCCTGAGAGCTGCAATCCCGGGATGTTAGCGATCGGCCATCTTGGATCGTTCTTATTCAACTTCTAATATACACACAACCCTTTCTGAAATGTTCAGTCTTGTCCATGTCTTGATTTTGAGGCATATTTTCCTCTAATTGAAAGGCATTTTGTCAAAATAATAGAGCTCTTTTCAAAAATCAATGATCTTTCAATGCTAAAATATTCATTTTAGCTGAACATTGACAAAGACTCCCTCCTTGATCAAACTTTAGTTAGGCTTCTCTAAGCCGTCTTCTCAACTAGGCCTCATCCTTGGCCTTGGCTTGCCTTAAGCAAAGAATCTGGCTAAGTCAGTTTAGTGGGAATCTCCCATGCTTGATATCTAACCTAGTTTCTCACTCCTCACCCTTAATGTCTAAATTCTTAATCTGCCTGTAGGAAGAACCTTGTTAGGCAACTTAAGCAAGAATCCCTCTACACTTGATGTCTCCTTTTAATAATTTTCCAACTGCTGACCTCTTCACCCTGCTCTTTGTAAATTCTCAGCTTTTTTTTTTTTCTGTACTTGAGTTAAATCTCTCTTCTATTGCAATAGCCTTTAATAAAGTCTTCCTTGTCATATTTAGCAAGTGTCAATAATTTTTCTTTAACATCATCAGACTGGCTCTTAGGGATTTTGCCCTTGTGATATGCTAGAAGTTAAACTCATTGACTGTAGAGTCCAATCATCTAGTTTCCCACCCTTTATCTGTTGCTTATGAGCTTTATATCCTTAAGCAAGTTAGATGAACTTGTGTTGTTGATCCTTCAATGATAAATGTGTGCTCTGAACTGATAGGCTTATCTATGAGAAGGTGAGATCTCACAGGTGAGATTGTATCCACACATACATTTCACCACTGTGACCTCTGCCCAAACTGAAAGGTTGAGAATTTTGTGCTCTCTGCAAGCAAATTATGCCTGTAACTGTGGGATGGGGTGGGGAGGTGGTGGGTTAATTCATGTTGACTATGCGCACCCAGCCTGTAAGCTTACCATCTGAAATCTGGGCACCTCACTGGCTGGCTAAGAAGGTGATAAACGGTTAGGAAGAGACAACAATCAAAAAGTCTTCCTAAGTTTGAATCTGTGAGTTCAGACACTATAGTCTTTGTCTCAGTGAAACTCTGAGTGGGAGTTCCTGCCTTTAGATTTAAACAACAATAAATGAAAATTTCAGACTTCATGCACCAGGATCTCTCTCGGTTAAAAGCTATGAATTCCCTGGATTTTAGTGATCAACACCACTTATTCCTTGGTCCAATAGCTCAATAATTTTGTTGAAAATTTATATCCTATAAGTTATAATTAATGCCCACAACCTATTAAAAATTCAATTTTATTTGCCACCCCAGTGCTCATTCACTTAGATAAGAACACAACATACTGAGAACCATTTTTAAAATCAGAAATGGGCAGTTGCCCCTGCATCATAATTATAACTCTATAATCAACTGGTACCTAGGAACTCCCCAGTGAACATAACTTTTGTCTCTGCACCTAGAATCATGGCCCCTTGCAAAATGTTAGCTACCAACTTAGAAGAAAAGAAGTTCCTCAAGCTCTCCCCAAAGGTTTCATGTTTTTGAAAAAGAAAATGGGATTTTTGCCTCTAAAAAAGTACCATGGCATAAAATGGTAACATTATCTTTCTAGTCACCTCTGTTGATAATTGATCTCCTGAATGTTTAAGACACCAACAAATTTGATTTAAATTAGAGATAGTGTAGCCTTACCAAAACAGCATGGTACTGGTACAAAAATAGACACACAGACCAATGGAACAGAATAGAGAGCTAAGAAATAAGACTGCATAAACTATCATCGGAGTGATCAGGCAACCTATAGAATGGGAGAAAATTTTTGCAATGTATCTGACAAAGGTCTAATATCCAGAATCTGCAAGAAACTTAAAAAAATATAAAGAAAAGAAACCCACTAAAAAGCAGGCAAAAGACATGAATAGACACTTCTCAAAAGAAGCCATTTCTGTGGTCATGAAACATGTTAAGAAAAGCTCAACATCACAAATCATTAGAGAAATGCAAATCAAAGCCACAATGAGATACCATCTCACACCAGTCAGAATGGCGATTATTAAAAAGTTGAGAAACAACAGCTGTTGGCAAGGCTATGGAGAAATAGGAATGCTTTTACACTGTTGGTGGGAATGTAAATTTGTTCAATCATTGTGGAAGACAGTGTGGCCATTCCTCAAAGATATAGAACCAGAAATATACCATTGACCCAGCAATCCTATTACTGGGTATATACCCAATGTAATATAAATCATTCTATTATAAATATACATGTTCATTTCAGCACTTTCATAATAGTAAAGACACAGAATCAACCCAAATGCCCATCAGTGGTAGACTGGATAAAGAAAATGTACATATACACCATGGAATACTATGAAGCCATAAAATGGAATGAGATTATGCCCTTTGCAGGGACATGGATGGAGCTGGAAGCCATTATCTTTAGCAAATTAATGCAGGAACAGAAAAGCTATCACCATAGATTCTCACTTATAAGTTAGATCTGAACAATGAGAATGCATGGACAAAGAAAGGGAAAACAACATGCACTGGGGCCTATGCGGGGTGGGGGAAGGGAGAGCATCAGGAAAAATAGCTAATGCATGCGGGGCTTAATACCTAGGTGATGGATTGATGGGTTCAGCAAACCACCATGGCACACATTTACCTATATAACAAACCTTCATGTCCTGCACATAAATACCAGAACTTAAAATAAATTTAATTTAATTAAAAAATTAGAGATAGTGACAGTAAAAAAAGGTGTACTAGTGGGGTCCCTTGCCAATTTGAATGGGCTTAAGAGCATGAATGGCCCCAAACATTTTAGGAATATTATTCTTCCACTGCTTTCTTTCTGGACAGCACTCGTTGATGAAGATAATATCCTAATTTATATACCAAAACAGACTTCCCATTAATTTTTTGCTTCAGCAGTTCAGGGTTGTCTTTAGCAGCACCATCATCAGATCGATAAAAAGAAAAACACATTCAAAAGACTAGAAAAATACTCCCTGCTGTCATTCAGTTTATTTAAAGTATGCATATGATCTCCAGAAAGTTGTTAGCTATTGGGTTTCTTAACCAAAGGAATTTTTGAATTTCCAGGGTTCACCAAGTATTCATTCTTAGATCTGACTACCTCATAATCTGGGACTAGCCTTATCTTTGATGGCAGCCAAAGTCTTCCAAAGACTCTAGACTCTATTCACGTTTGCCCTGATTCTAGCCTAATTTGAGCTAATTAGAGCTCTTGGTTGAAACTGACACCCCCTGCTCAATATTAAGGGTTATCCTGCTATCCTGAAAAAGTATTACATTTTACTCCAAAGTTAAGTTGAAAGACTATTCCTGCTCCTACTTCCCCAGAGAGCTATTTTTAGTTGAACCAGTCATTAAGTAGCAGAAAGATTTCCTGTATATCCCTCTGAATAGCTCACTGCCTCCACAGGTCCTGGTGGCTACTGGATCATTGGTAATTCTGGAGTTGTGCTGTTGAGTTGTGCTGTTCAATATGGGAGCCACAAGTCACATATGATGATCTAAATTTAAATTAATTAAATGTATGTAAAATTAAAAATCTAGATTCCTGGTCACACTAGCCACATATAAAGAGTCCAAGAGCCACATATGACTCATACTTCCCATACTGTAGGGCACACGGGTAGAACATTTTTATATCATAAAACATTCTACTGAAAAGTGCTGTGAAGAGGTGCTGACAACAAATCCCCATATGTGTGATGGATCATATTGTTTACTGCGAATGACAGCAAGGAAAACCAAGCCGGTCCCCAAGTGGAAAACTACTCAGGGCATTCTAAAATAGTGAGCAACGTATGCCTATTATACATTAGTTAAACCAATTATTTAAACACAGGATATGTGACCTTGCTCCCTTGTGGAGAATGCTTTCTAGCTTGTCTTTGATCAGTGGTAAGCAGGTACTAGCTGCCTTCCTAGTTTGTCTTTGTTCTATGAGAAAACACAGAATACCTGCTTGTTAATAATCACCTGTTCAGAGAGAATAAATACGTGTGCCAGAGTCTGCTTGAGGCTCTCAGCTCTGAAGGCTCTCAGCATCCTGATCCCGCTTTGCTCTTCTATCTTTGTGTTTGTTTCTTAATTCCTTCAGCGCTGCCTGGGTTTGGGTCTCTACAGCCAAGCTGGTCTTGGCAAAGAGGAGTCATAACTGCCATAAAAAAGATGATCTGGGAGGAGGAACTTGTAAATGAAGCCAAGATAGCTTGAATCTATGAAATGGGTCTCCTCTGCCAGTAGCTACAGGATCTGCTTTAAAAAAAAATCAACTGCAATCATTTGCATATGGGCTTGGGTATCAGTTTGTTTTCCTTGTATCCTCTTCAAACAGTGAGTTCCATGGTTCTCAACTCTGGCTGTATATTAGAATCACACAGAGAATCTAGTTTAATTGGTCTGGAGATGCGAGGCAGAAAATTGGTCGTTTTTAAAAGCCCCAGATGAATTCTGTTTTGTATTTAGGTTTGACAAGCACTGATTTAGCAAATACATCACCTCATTTAATCAAATCAATATCTATAAAGGCAGAGCTTCAGTCAAAATAAAACCACCTCAATGTTTTATAGAAAAGCCTGCTGAATTCAAGACATAACTAATGGGAATTAAGACAGAGCTGGCATTGTCGTCTTAATAGTTCATAGGGGCAAACTGAGAAGCTATATTTGATCTAGTTTAAATAACCCTAACATTCGCCATCCATTGCAGGTTGACTTCTATACTAAACTAAAACTTATGTTGGAAAAAGAATTATAGAAAGAAGCATAAAATCCACCTTATTCACAATTATTGGCAACTTGCAGTAACAATTCTGCTGTTCTTTTCTGCATATATTCTCTTCAAAACCCTCACCAGAGTTATTAATATACTTTACATTTATGTTATCTCTGGGATTGTCACAGTTTTAGAGAATAATTATTAGGGAAGAATTGCTCCATTTATTTTCTCTTGACAGTTTCACTATGCTGAATTTATGAGTTTTTCTTACCATATAAATTGTTCATTTTTTGTTACTCCATAAAATGTAAATAATATCTTTATAATGGGGGACTATAAAGGATAGAAACTATTTGTTATTTTATTTCATTTTATTTTGTTTGAGTAGAAATCCAATTTTCTTTATTATTTTTTGGCAGATATATAACTCCAAAATATTTAGATAGATTAATATTGCTGCTCATTCCTCTGATACTTGCTATGGAAAAATAAGAACATTTAAGGCATAAAAGACTATTCTGTCAGTCTAAATATCTATGTCAGTGATAACCCAGATTGGGTTTAAGACGCTTTTATAACCAATAACATTTATGCTCTTCAGGGGATAGAAAAATGCAGTTACGAATAATATTTTAGTGTTATAAAACATTTGATTGGCAAGAATCATATCTTTAAAATTCTTAGCAGTTATATTTTATGCCATTACAAATTATACAGAATATGCTTTAACACATAGCAGGTTATTGTCACATATTTTTTACATCTTTTTCTAAGTGGGTTATACATTGTTCAAAAAATTAATATTTTGAGTGGGGTGAATATTATTTGTGATTTAAAAGATTAATTGCATACCTTGTTTAAAATTAAAAAGAAAAGAAAGTAATTTGAAACTTTCAAACTCACCACTGCCTTGTCAGACCTTCTATGATCTTCTACCCTGTTTATCCACTGTATTTCTGGCTATTTTTCAATAAGCATCATCCACACAAGTCAGTGTTATTTTCAAAAGTCTTCCGTACTTGCAATTTTCTTAGCTGCATTTCTCAATTTGTCATGTTGCTTATCTTGCTCAGAATTTCCTTCATTCTCAAAAGTATGGGTGTAGTACAGATTTTCGGGTAGCAGCATGTAACCCTTCAAAGAAAAGTTATGTGTTAATTGAAAACAAGTTTTATATTTTACTCTAGTTGATATAATTTTTGTTATAGATAATATCATGGAAAACAAAATGTATGAATAATATAAACAATAAAAATGGAAAGTGGTAGATAAATCTTAACTACCTATTGTTTTTATAGAAATGGTGCTGCATCGATACCGAGTTTATTGAGGGTTTTTAGCAAAAAGGGCTGTTGAATTTTGTCAAATGCCTTCTCTGCGTCAATTGAGATAATCATGTGGTTTTTGTTTTTGGTTCTGTTTATGTGGTGAATTATGTTTATAGACTTACATATGTTGAACCAGCCTTGCATCCCCGGGATGAATCCTACTTGATCATGGTGAATAAGTTTTTTGATTTGCTGTTGCATTCGGCTTGCCAATATTTTATTGAAGATTTTTGCATCTATGTTCATCATGGATATTGGCCTGAAGTTTTCTTTTCTTGTTGGGTCTCTGCCGGGTTTTGGTATCAGAATGATGTTGGTCTCGTAAAATGATTTGGGAAGTATTCCCTCTTTTTGGATTGTTTGAAATAGTTTTAGAAGGAATGGTACCAGCTCCTCTTTGTGTGTCTGGTAGAATTCGGCTGTGAATCCATCTGCAGCTGGGCTTTTTTTGTGTGATAGGCTCTTAATTGCTGCCTCAACTTCTGACCTTGTTATTGGTCTATTCATAGTTTCAGCTTCCTCCTGGTTTAGGCTTGAGAGGACACATGTGTCCAGGAATTTATCCATTTCTTCCAGGTTTACTAGTTTATGTGCATAGAGTTGTTGTAATATTCTCTGATGATGGTTTGAATTTCTGTGGAATCTGTGGTGATTTCCCCTTTATCATTTTTTATTGCATCTATTTGGTTGTTCTCTCTTTTCTTTTTAATCAATCTGGCTTGTGGTCTATTTTGTTGATCTTTTCAAAAAACCAGCTCTTGGATTTATTGATTTTTTGAAGGGTTTTTCGTGTCTCAATCTCCTTCAGTTCAGCTCTGATCTTAGTTATTTCTTGTCTTCTGCTGGGTTTTGAGTTTTTTTGATCTTGCTCCTCTAGCTCTTTCAATTTTGACGATAGGGTGTCAATTTTGGATCTCTCCATTCTCCTCATATGGGCACTTATTGCTATATACTTTCCTCTAGAGACTGCTTTAAATGTGTCCCAGAGGTTCTGGCATGTTGTGTCTTCGTTCTCATTGGTTTCAAAGAACTTCTTTATTTCTTCCTTCATTTCATTGTTTACCCAGTCAACATTCAAGAGCCAGTTGTTCAGTTTCCATGAAGCTGTGCGGTTCTGGGTTGGTTTCTGTATTCTGAGTTCTAACTTGATTGCACTATGGTCTGAGAGGCTGTTTGTTATGCTTTCAGTTGTTTTGCATTTGATGAGAACGTGTCTCAAAGTAATAAAAGCTATTTATGACAAACCAACAGCCAATATCATACTGAATGGGCAAAAACTGGAAGCATTCCCTTTGAAATCTGGCACTAGACAAGGATGCCCTCTTTCACCACTCCTATTCAATATAGTTCTGGAAGTTCTAGCCAGAGCAATCAGGCAAGAAAAAGAAATAAAGGGTATTCAAATAGGAAAGGAGGAAGCCAAATTGTCTCTATTTGCAGACGACATAATAGTATACCTAGAAGAAAGACCCCATCACCTCAGCCCAAAAACTCCTGAAACTGATAAGCAACTTCAGCAAAGTCTCAGGATATAAAATCCATGTGCAAAAATCACAAGCATTCGTCTACACCAATAACAGTCTTAAAGAAAGCCAAATCAAGAACGAACTGCCATTCACAATTGCTACAAAAAGAATAAAATACCTTGGAATACAACTCACAAGGAACGTAAGGGACCTCTTCAAGGAGAACTACAAACCACTGCTCAACGAAATCAGAGAGGACACAAATAGATGGAGAAACATTCCATGTTCATGGTTAGGAAGAATTAATATCGTGAAAATGGCTATACTGCCCAAAGTAATTTACAGAATCAATGCTATCCCCATCAAGCTATCATTGACTTTCTTCACAGAACTGGAAAAAACCACCATGAACATTATATGGAACTAAAAGAGAGCCCACATAGCCAAGTCAGTTCTAAGCAAAAAGAACACAGCAGGGGGCATCACACTACCGGATTTTAAACTATACTACAAGGCTACAGTAATCAAAACAGCATGGTACTGGTACCAAAGCAGAGATATAGACCAATGGAACAAAACAGAGGCACCGGAGGCAACACAACATATCTACAACTATACAATCTTTGATAAACCTGACAAAAACAAGCAATGGGGAAAGGATTCCCTGTTTAACAAATGGTGTTGGGAAAACTGGCTAGCCATGTGCAGAAAGCAGAAACTGGACCCCTTCCTGACACCTTACACTAAAATTAACTCCAGATGGATTAAAGACTTAAACATAAGACCTGGCACCATAAAAACCCTAGAAGGAAATCTAGGCAAAACTATCCAGGACATAGGAGTAGGCAAGGACTTCATGAACAAAACACCAAAAGCACTGGCAACAAAAGCCAAAATAAACAAATGGGACCTAATGAAACTCCACAGCTTCTGCACGGCAAAAGAAACAGTCACTAGAGTGGATCAGCAACCAACAGAATGGGGAAACATTTTTGCAGTTTACCCATCTGACAAAGGGCTGATATCCAGAATTTACAAAGAACTCAAACGGATTTACAGGAAAAAAACAAACAAGCCCATTCAAAAGTGGGCAAAGGATATGAACAGACACTTTACGAAAGAAGACATATATGAGGCCAACAATCATATGAAAAAATGCTCATCGTCACTGGTCATCAGAGAGATGCAAATCAAAACCACATTGAGATACCATCTCACACCAGTTAGAATGGTGATCATTAAAAAATCTGGAGACAACAGATGCTGGAGAGGATGTGGAGAAAAAGGAACACTTTTACACTGTTGGTGGGAGTGTAAATTAGTTCAACCATTGTGGAAGACAGTGTGGCGATTCCTCAAGGCCTTAGAAATAGAAATTTCATTTGACCCAGCAATCCCATTTCTGGGTATATATCCAAAAGACTATAAATTGTTCTACTATAAGGACACATGCACACGAAAGTTCATTGCAGCACTGTTTACAATAGCAAAGACCTGGAATCAACCAACATGCCCATTGATAATAGACTGGATTGGAAAAATGTGGCACATATACATCATGGAATATTATGCAGCAATCAGAAATGATGAGTTTGTGTCGTTTGTAGGGACATGGATGAATCTGGAGAACATCATTCTCAGCAAACCGACACAAGAACAGAAAATGAAACACCGCATATTCTCACTGATAGGTGGGTGATGAAAAATGAGAACACATGGACACAGAAAGGGGAGTACTAAACACTGGGGTCTATTGGGGGGGAAAGGGGGAGGGCCAGTGGGAGGGGGAGGTGGGGAGGGATAGCCTGGGGAGAAATGCCAAATGTGGGTGAAGGGGAGAAGGAAAGAAAAGCACACTGCCATGTGTGTTCCTATGCAACTGTCTTGCATGCTCTGCTCATGTACCCCAAAACCTAAAATCCAATAAAAAATTTAAAAAAATTAAAAAAATTAAAAAAAAAGAAATGGTGCTGCAACATTCTCAACTTAGAGCAGTATAAATATAAATAATGGTTCTCCAAGTTTAGCTGGCAACAGAATCACTCAGTCAATTTATTAAAACAGATTTCTGGATCTGAACCCAGAGCTTCTGATTCAGTATTTCTGGGGTTGGGGCCCAAGAAACTGCATTTCTTACAAGTTCCCAGATGATGCCCATGCTGCTAGCCCAGAGACCACACTTTAAGAAGTCTTACTGGAGACACTAGAATTTTGTATTTTGGCATACAAAAAAATGTATATACTTAATATGCCTATTGTTCTTCAAAAATCAGTCAGTTTTAAGTGAGAGGCCAATTTGTAAACTGCAACAAAAGAACCAATGAAATTAGTATCAGGGAAGAAATAACAGCAAGTCAATTTTAGGCAGAAGACTCATCTTCAAGCTAATGGAAACTAAGATGGAGTCAGAAAATATCTATTGATTTCAATAATCTTTGTTGCAACATTGTTTGTTACATAGAAAAAATGGAAACAACCAAAGTGCCTATTTAATAGAGGCTCATAAACCATAGTAGATCTAAATATAACGGACTTAAAAAGAATTTGATTGATTTGGATGTGCTGATATGGAAATACTTTCAAGATATATTATTATACAAGGCTAGAGTAACCAAAACAGCATGGTATTGGTACAAAAACAGATATACAGAACAATGGAACAGAAATAAGGCCGCACATCTACAGCCATCTGATCTTCAACAAACCTGACAAAAGCAAAGAATGGGAAAAGGACTCCCTATTCAATAAATGGTGCTGGGATAACTGGCTAGCCATATGAAGAAGATTGAAACTGGACCTCTTCCTTAAACTTTATACAAAAACAACTCAAAATGGATGAAATAATTAAATGTAAAATACCAAACTACAAAAATCCTGGAAGACAACCTAGGCAATACCATTCTCGACATAGGATCAGGCAGAGATTTAATGACAAAGACTGGTACTGGTATAAAAAGCATGGTACTGCTATAAAAGTAAATACGTAGACTAATGGAACAGAATAGAGAGCCCAAAATAAAGCCAAATACTTCAACCAAATGATCTTTGACAAAACATACAAAAACAAATTGGCAAAAGGACATCCAATTCAATAAATGATGCTGGGTAAATTGAATAGCCACATGTAGAGAATGAAACTGGATCCGTATCTCTTGCCATGTACAAAAGTTAAGATGGATTAAAGACTTAAATGTAAGACCTGAAACCATAAAAATTTTAAAAGAAAACCTATACAAAATTATTTTGGGCACTGGCCTAGGCAAAGAATTTATGACTCAGACCCCAAAAGCAATGATGAGTAGATAAAGAAAATGTGGTGTGTATACATATATATATGTGT